GACTCTGGGTGAGAGGCCACTCAGAGCTCCTCGAATGTGAGTCCTTCCCTCCCTCCCAGGTCCTCTCCCATGTAAACCACTGGTTGCGTTCAGTAAGGCAATAAATACCACGTGAGCCCAAAGAGCAGCTGTCCATCCAGACCTCTCTCTCACAGGGCAGTCCTCAGGAGGAGCTATGTCCCCAGAGTCCCAGGATGCTGTGGGGGGCATTTGTGCTTGGCACCGCAGCCTGGGGACCCCCTTGTGACACCCTCTTTGCCTGGGTCTCTCAGAGAGTGGAGCAAATCCAGCCTTTAACTACACGACAGAGACCAACGACACCACCTCACTGCCGTGGAGTTGACTCCGCTGAGCCTCCAGCGGGTTTTCAGTGGCAGTAAATCACATGCCAGGACGTTACTTTTCTCCCACAGAGCGGCTGGGTGACCCCAACCGCCTGCCTTTGGGATGTCGGCTCAACTCCCTACAGACTTGGCTACCAGAGCTCCCAAAGTTGGAGGAAAAAAGAATTTAAAAACCTGGACTTATGTCTAGATGCTTGAGATAGTTAACCAAAATCAAGACAGAAATGTTTAACAGAAAGTTTGCCACGTAAACCAAATGTGTGTGTCAACTGAGGACCTTCACCGTGTTGTACCACCATCTCCACCATGTATTCTCAAAGCATTTCATGTCCCAGCAGAGACTCCGTCCACCCTAGCAATGGTCCTGCGTTTCCCTGGCTCCAGACCCATGGAACCACTAAGTTGCTTTGGTCTCTCAGCCCTTCCTGTTGTAAGGATTCTCTTAGACAAGAGCAGGGCTCACAATAGTCGTGCTTCCGTGTCTGGGTGAGTTCTCGCATTGCTCCCCAATCCCCAGGGGTTTCTACTTCTCTGATCATAGCCGCCGTGGTGGGAGTGACCCCCGTTTCTCGTCCCATCTAGCTTGCTTCTGAGTCCTTTCACTTTACACTGGAAGTTCTCTTCCAATGGCACATATCCTGTCCCCTCACAAAACAAGATGGAGGCTTTTGTGCAGTTGTCTGGCTAAGAAGTAAGTAGAAGTGATTAATAGCAATCACAGAATGCGATTATGAAGCTCAAACCGTTTATTAAAGAGGAAGAACAGTTAAAAAGTTCCTGGAGAAGCCAGCAGTATCTACATTGACCCGTCTAGAACAGGACTTGTAATGTGCACGTCTTCCACCCTGGCCCACTACTGCTTTGAATGTTGCCCATTCTCTTCAGACAGAGGGAAGTTTGCCCCCAAGTCTAAGATGGTGGATGCTCTGTGAAAGAAATACAACAAAGGATCCTCCTGAAAGCCCTGACTTCAGGTGGGACTGGTCCTCCCTGCGTCCCTTCTCTCAGAGCCTGCAAGTACTCCCTGGGTATGGAACTTAGGCTAGTGCCACTGACCGTGGCTAGGAACTCCAAGACTGTAAGCTCGCTGGTTTCTCTGCGGGCCCGGTTGCCCCACAGGAATTCCTGGCAGGGAGGCCGACTATTGGGTACTGGCTCTATCTTTAAATACTCATCCTGCTTCCATTCCAGAATGAGCTTGCGGGGCTCCCCGTAAATAAAATGCTCCTGCCCTGCATGCACCTCCATCACTTGTAGCGTCTCCCAGATCTTCTGCTCACTGGCACGGCCGCCTTCCAGGAAGATGGTACTCAGGATTGTGATCAGAAGGCCGTTCTTGGGGAAGCTCTGGGTCTGGCTCTTCACGCTATCGTCATAAGTGAGCCCGAGCAAGGGGGCCAGGACATAGGTGTGGGAGGTGGGGTTCATTTCCACACCAAAGACCATCTGCATGATCTCCAAAGCTCTCCGGAAGATCTCGGGGAAGTACCTCTCATACCTCCCGATGACCTTGTCCACTATCTCCTCCTTAGTGGTAGGCATGTCACAGTGATACTTGGAGAGCAAGAAATTGACCAAATGCCACACTGTCTTATCGAGCTTGCTCCTGCGCCTGTTCTTGCGCCCAGTTTTAGACTTGGCAATGGAGCCACTAGCACCCGCCCCTTCCTGACTGCTGGTGCCCTCAGCTGACATGGCC